TCTTTTTTTTGTCTCTAAAAATATAGCAATTAAAAAGATTTTTATAAAATTGTTTATTTTATTTTTATAAAAGTTATTGTTTAATGTATACAGGGTGATTCAGAAATACTTGTACAAACTTTGGAGACGAGTTCTCCACACATAAACAAGAAAAAAACGTTATATTATATATATTGTATATGTCCGGAAATGTCTGGTTTATGAATTATAACCGAAAGATTACATTTCAGGCCTGCACGTTTACTTGGCCTAAATCCATTAGATTTTTATCTGTGAAGACACTTATAGAAGCTCTAGTTTATTCAAAATTACAAATAAAGAGACCTTTACCAACGCATCATGCTTGCGAAGCCATCTGCAACCGGGATCTTTGAAAGAGTGCGACAATCCATGATCCATCGTGTCTATGCATGCATTGAAGCAGGTGGAGGACATTTTAAGCATTTGTTATAAATTATAAGTAGATAAACAATTGAACTGAAGATGTATTACATTGGTCATAGATGTATTTGGTTAGTTTTTGTCGAACGTATCTTTCGATTATAACTTATAAATTAGACATTTATGCACATATGTATATATGACATTTTTTCTTGTTTATGTGTGGAGAAATCATCTCCAAAGTTTGTACAACTATTTTTTAATCACTCTATATATATATATATACATATTTCTGTAGTGGCGAGATCCGAGATCAAATCCGATAAAAAATTATTGGATTTTATTCGATCATCATCTCTCGGAAAGAAAAAGCACGAGAGGTATCGTGCCATGAGCACCTTTCTATAGAGAGCCATTTGGAATCGGCGTTAAATTGTAGGTCTTTGATGCATACAGTTATATGCAGAAAGATCACGATACTCAAAATCGAGCAAAACGACTAAGAAGATATATTTCTATAAAATCTATTATTATATTTCTAATTTATTTTATGAAACGTATTATTTACTGTACAGTAAACGTATTATATTTACGTAAAATAAATTTTAATAAATAAATAGTTAACTAAACAGGCTCTCAATATTAAAATTAATAAATAACAAGGAAAAAGTGGGCTGAGAGTCAAATATGTAGTTAGTTGTTAATTAATGTTATGTGACATTTAATTAACAATTTAATAGAAAGTTATAAATTGTGTATCTCAACTCTATTTTCAGCCATTTTCATAGAAGCAGTAAGACAGATACATTTTAATACTAGGTATACAGAATTATTTTCTACAAAAGAAGTATCATTTTTAGCATATTAATTTTCTTATATGTTAATGACATATATATAGCACTTATATTTACTCTTATTTTATTTTTGTTTACTGTGTCCCTTGTAATAAGTTATGAATAAAAGGCCAGAATTGCCAGAAAGAGGAGTAGTTATATTACAAAGTTGCATAATACCATAATTATGGACGATTGCTCGTAATGATACTTGCACGAAATAATGGATATAGCAAGTAGAAATAATATGATATAACATCGGATAGGAATAATTACGTATAAGCGCCACTCATTGCATAAAGATTTCTTTTCGCATGGTAATCAAGTGGTTCAAAGTTCTAAACGTGATTTGCAAAGGAAAATACGTAGATCGGAAAAATCCAGAGACCACAATAGACGTTTCCTTCGGGGAGATATACTTATTCGATATTTTTCTAAAGTAATCCATGTCTTAACAAACAAAACTTGTTGTGCCTGCCTGTCGCATAAAGATTTATAATAAATTTTGCTTCCTCATAGAGGAAGCTTTGTTTTCGTATAAAAAGATTTTTTTTAGTTGCTGCTGCCAATGTGTTCAGAATGTTCTGAAACGTCGAAAAATCGTAATTTTAAAAAATGTCCTGTGTGTGTATGTATGTGTGTATGTATGTGTGTGTGTATGTGTGTGCCAAATTTACCGAAATTTCTATAACTCAAGAACTGATTTTAACCAAATCTTGAAGAATTATATATAAAATAGAGGTAGAAAAGACTGAAGAATATAATAGAATTAGAATAATTGCCAATATTATAAAACTTTAACCCTTAAAGACTACACTTCAGGTCTCAACCGCTTAAGACTTCTTAAAAATTGATGCTTTTGGACAATTTTTAGTATTAATTACACAGGCACACAAAAAAAATATGCGGAGCCAAAAAAGCGACCTATATAGCATTGTAGTATTGGTCGAGCATAGTCAAAATCCAAATTTTTGGAATTTTCTGCTTACCAGAAAATTCCTTAACCTTTTTTTTTATTTGACCTTGAATTTTGGGTTTAGGTTGAATTCTTCCAAGTTGGCTACTAAACATCTGAAATCGTTTTTTTGAGCTGTAAAATGGATTTTGTTATAGCTTTTATGTTAAAAAAGATTTTCTCGAGTTTTGGTCGCAAAAAAAATTTTTTCGCAAAAGTTATTAACAATAAAAGTATAATGTTACAATACGATCAACATTTTTCTCGTGAACGTCTAAACGGATTTTAACAATTCTGACGTCAATTTTTTTATTTATAAACGTACATTCTAGAAATATGCTTTTGGATATAGGTCGCTTTTTTGGCTCCGCACATTTTTTTTTGTGTGCCTGTGTTATTGGCAACTTTTCTAATTCTGTTATATTTTTCAGTCATTTCTACTTCTATTTCATTTATAATTCTTTAAGATTTGGTTCATTAGACCCAGCTTTATACGCGATTAAAGGTTCATATGCGAAGTCCATATATAGACCATGTAACCTGAACTCCCAAAGTCAACATCGATTTGATATTGCGTCAGTTATAAAACCCCACTTGTCCTACTAGGCTGACCCTTTTTCAATTCATAAAAAGGTTAAATTTAAAATAGAAAAAAAAGTTCAAATTAAAAACTTGCACATTGCTTCCTCATAACAGATCGCTACCATTGCTCCTATTTTATTTCGCTCATAAAGCTTCCTCTATGAGGAAGCCAAACTAATAAATACTAATAATTATGTATCAAATAAAATACAAGCTTCCTCATAAGAGGTACTTTGTGAGCGAAATAAAATAGGAGCAATGGTAGCGATCTGTAATGATGAGGAAGCAATGTGCAAGTTTTTAATTTGCACACTTTTTTTACGTTAGTTGCACATCTCAACTTCTTATTCCTAACGTATGTCATCGCGGAAAAAGAGGATTAGCTATTATAAGAAATTTAGTTGTAAAATAAGGATAACTAACATTTTTGCAGCGTTAGCTATAATTTAGCACTAGTAGTAAAACTTTAACAAAAGGTTTTGCTATTATTGTTAAATTATAGTTCTTGCTGCAAAAAATGTTAGTTATCCCTATTTTACAACTAAATTTGCTATAGTAGCTAATCCTTTTTTTACGGCATAAATTGAATCATAGTAACTTCTTTATAGAATTCTGTATATAGCATTTCCTCTCTCTTTAAAGACAGCGAAATGTAACTTCTTATTGTGTAAATGTATCGACTTAAACATATAATAGCCAGTACTTCATTAATATTTTTTAAACCATAAATGCTGTACACAATCTTTTATTTACTTAAAATTATTTTTAGACATTTATTTTCACATATTATTTAAATTATGAAATTTTTAATTATAATTATATTACAATTTAATTCTTTGACATTGATTATAATAATTAATGTCAAAGAATTTTATGTTGTACAATTTTATGGCAGTATTGTACATTTTTTAAAGTTTTTATTAATTTTGACGAAGCAAATACATATATCGCATAACTTCTGACATTTATAGCCCACGTTAATTGATACTGTATTGCAACGTTAAAGAAAAATATAATCCGATACAGCTGCAAATTGAATTACACGCAAATATTCTGTTGTTTTGGTAATAAATAAAACTAATGTAATTATTTCAGCGAATACTTTTCGGGATACAAGAAAATAAACTGACAACGTGTTATATTCATTAAACTTACACAGCGCGAATAAAACGCGCTTTCAATAAAGTTCTTTGTAAAAACGCATAATAAGATTGATGTCGGAAAGTGACAATGCAGTAATTCAAACAATATTCTCATCGTGATCAAGGATGTACTTTTGTTTTCAAATCGATTTAATATACACACGCAATCGCGATATACATCGGACGCGTTTAATATAGTTTTTAAAAAACGTACCAAGTAACATAAATAAATAATAATGTGGAAATTATAACATATTATAATGTGAAAAAAATTCAATTACTAAATTCTCATGTTGCTCGCTGGAAAATTCAATTATAAAACTATTTAGTAATATCCCACTTGCGTGAAGAACAACCGTATTTTGCTCCATAAAAATGCACAAGCCATTAATGCGATGGAAAATGCATCGGTCACTCTACGATACGCTTTACGACGTACTTAAATATAAGGTTCAAATCGTTACAGTGTGCTTTGTAATTTCCACTGAAAAAGTGATATTATGTAATTTAGTAATAAATTGAGTTAAATTTTATTAACGGCAAATTCCATTTGCATTAATTCTACAGATCCTGCCTAATGCAAGTTATTAACTCGTTGCGATATTTGGAACGTGTTATTCTACGTTTATTGGTCCACGCAAAAGCTCTTTAACCTCGCAGAAATATTAAATTTATCCGAATTAAATTTATCCAATGCCATCTACTTTTATCTCTCTATCACTGAAAGTAAAATGCTTATATAGCAATATAGCTTTTGTCACCTCGTTGTATTTAGTGCGTATTTATTTTAATGCGAAAGCAGTGGAATCCTTGTACATGCCTGTGTACATGACCGTGACACTTGTCTGACGTTCAATATGCTATTAATCTTAATGCTTAATGCCACTTAAACATGCACTTTCAAAATCGTTAACATTGTAAATGCATAACGTCTACCGATACTGACATTTGATCAACCTAGCTATCTAACGAATAACAATCAGTTACTTAAAAAATGCGGAATAATACTGATGATACTTTATTCATCACAAAGATATAAAATAAGTATTATGTAAAAAATGATATTTTTTTCTGACTATTATATATTATTCGAAATATTTGTTGCAGTCGCTGTTGTGATAGCATTCTTTATTTGTTGGGCTCCATTTCACGTGCAACGATTGATCGCTATATATGGCACTAATACAGAAGATCACATCACATCGAACGGCCCATGGATGGAGTTCGTTTACCTTCTAATGACCTACGTGTCAGGCGTTTTATATTACGTGTCCACTACAATCAACCCAATCCTTTACAATATTATGTCGAACAAATTCCGTATGGCGTTTATGGTGAGCAAAACAGAAACCTTCACAATGTATTTCACTAGAGTCTTTCTCTAATCAGAGTCCGGCCAACTTGCAGTTCTAGCAAAATTTTGCGAGAGAGAAGGATATACATATTTACTGTTTGCTTTCTCTTCCTTTCTATGTTTCCTTTCTATCTCTTTCTCTTTCCGTACGTCTCTCTTGCTTTTGCCAAAAAATGGCGAACCTGCAATCAAAAGTTGCTACCGTATGGCCAGACTCTGATTAGAAGGATACTAGTATTTCACAAAGAATAAAAATTACATAATAACAACTTTAAATTAACAATTTAACAAGTGTCGTGGAACAAGTGTTGGTATATTGAACGAACATATTAGAACATTGCAGACACAATAATTTCCAAAAATCTTCAATTCATATTTTTTTTAGTAAATAAACTTTTTTTCCCAATTATTGTTATAAGTGAATCCAGTCTGATCCATTCCAGGAGACATTATCGAAGAGCTTCAGACTCCCTGGATTGCCAGCACGTAACGAGCAACGATCCTATTCCAGCTTGTCGCGATCCCAACAAAGGACCATCGGTGCTTACGGCTCAAGGATGGCGGGGACCGATGGAGGCATAATTGTCGACAGCATGGAAGGTTCGGGGAATTCCATGGAGGAGAGTCAAAAACGGCCCGTAAATGATGCAGAAAACCCACTGGTATCTACCAGCGTTCTGGGTACAACTCGGACAAACTCGATACGAAGCGGACACGCTAAAGAAACGAAGAATAACAACGACGTCTCATCAACGAAGAACAGTCTGCGATCACCGAGCAGCGAACGTCACAAAGATCGGTCGATTCGCAGGAGTCAGAAGGGTTCGTGGACTAAAAAAACGAGTTACAAGAATGTGACCAGGATCGACAGTTCCGAGAAGAAGTGGTGGAGATTCTTTAAGTGGCTGCCCGGCTTGAAGGTCCTCAGGTTTCCCAGGGGTTCGACCGTACCGGAAGATCACGTGTTCGACGAGGCCGGAAATCCTCGCGAGGAGCTGTCGATGACGATGTGGAACGTCCGCGATAACAACGAACAACGACCCGTGTAGAACACGGATATTTTCGCGATTCGAGATCTTCGAGAAGACTGACTTTTTTTTCGTCGATTTCTCTGCATTATTCATGTCGACGAAGCAACGCCATTATCTAACGACCTGGAGATGATGATAGCGCTGCACGACTTTCAACTCTGCGACGGCGATCTGAAAGCGAGGTCGTTTAAAGTTTGAGGATTTCTTTAGGAATGGAGAAGACTGAGATAAATGATGCTTGTAACTTGTAACTCTATCTCATGATTAATTTAACAACGTCCTAATGGGTGTCCAACGAACATATAGAAAGTAGAGAGACCTCTAGAAAAATCTATAAAATCAACGTGCTGATTTATTACAGGGTGCTTCAAAAGAATATTAACACTTATATAAAAGTAACTTTTTTACAGAAACAGAACTGATAACACAAGATATTGTATAATGTATTTTGTCTTCGAAAAGTCTCCATTTGTTCACCGGGTGGTCTCCAGTGGTCTCTGAGAGACACATTTCTTTGGATATTAATTGTTGCAATCACATTTGCAATTTTCCTGAAGACAAAAAATACATTTGTTACTATGATATTTTGTGTTATCAGTTCTGTTTTCTTTAAAAAAGTTACTTCCACATGAATAAGTGTTAACATTTTTTTTTTTAACACCTATTTGCCAAAACGAGTTTTGCGCAATTTTGTACGACTGCTGAATGCTAGCATCCAATGTTGCATAAAATCTAATAAATCCGGAGCATCGAAAGAGTAAACATGTCAGAAATATTGCGATTCGTATATCATGGTAAGTCAATATATAAATCAAATACCATACTGCTATTCGACTCTTGTAAATCTTCTCGAGACGCATTCTCATCAAGCATGCGGTCATTGATCATTAGAGTGAGATTTTCTCATAACTCCAATTTATTAAAACTTGAATAATAAACACAAGTATACGACAAGTACACGATGAGTTATGCTTTTTAATTTTGTGAATTCTCTTTGATATCCAATATGGATATTTACTGACGTTAAAAATAAAAGAATATGCAACAAAATTTTATTTCTAAAGCGTTGGGGAACTGAATCCAAACTTGATCTAATTTCTTTTTTGTCCATTGTTTTTGGAAAAAAAAAAATTGTTGCCAAGTACGGAAATATCATAATAAGTGTTTCAATTATTATCGACCATTGTACATAAGCCATTCTAACAATTAAGTCGACTGCATGTTTAAAGCAGCTATATGCGCGCGTAATGTATAATGTAAAATACGCGCTCCAAGTAAGTTATGAAATCAAGTAAAAGCGATCATTTCGGATAACCCGGTTTCATGGACGTGTCAGGCATCTTAAAACGCGTCGCGTGTACGTGTTTTTGACATTGCGTGCCGCAAATTGCACGAGCTACAACGACATTTAATTTCTAAATAAAATCTAAATGCTCTCTTACCTGGAAATGTTTTCCTTGTAAAAATATGCTGTAAAAGTTAATTCAGTTGACCTGATAAAATTAGTACAATCTACACGTTTCGAGCTTCCCCAATAGCAGAGTAACGTCAGATGACGTTTTAATGACGTCTAATTGACGTCTTGAGACGTCTCTAGACGTCATAATTAGACGTCATCTTGCTACCTGGGTTATTGCAGATTAAAGTCTGCAAATGTTGCAGAGGCAGATCCTTTCGTGTTATTCGTGGAATGTAATGCTGTAGAGTACAATTTAATGTAAGGTACCGTGGTTCTTCTCATATCGATTGAATTTTTATAATGTGATATTATTTGTTATGTAAATAATATAAGTATAAGTCGTTAACTGTAAAATTCTTTATTTATTTTTATCCGCGTGTCTTACTGAATGTTGTTCGTAACTGTATATGTATCGATATCTTCAGGCATCGATATTTTTGATAATTACAGATGGACACCTGTAACACGTGTCTGAAATTTACCTGTTTTTTTTATTCTCTTATTCCCTTCAACTAATCGCAAATTAATTCTATTTCATAAAAGCAATTCTGTTAAATTTCTCATATACATAACGCATCGTTTATAATTTTCTATTAATTATAAATATTAAATAGTACGATATATATATATATATATATATATATTCGTACTCATATCCTTGAAAATTATTTTGAGAATCCCAGCGAAGTCACAACCAGATAAAATTATATCTTTTATATTTTGACAGTTGAGCAGGAACATGTTTGAGTTGGCGGAAAGTAATTCTCTGAAACCGCACGTGTGTGTAGATAATTCAGGAGAAAATATATATTCTACATTTTAAAATACATTTGCACACTACGTACCAAAAATATATAATATGATAACGTAGTTTCAATTGATTGAATAGCAAAAAAGTATTTTTCCTTTCAGAAAAAAAAAAGATTTGAAAGTATATAACTTTGTCAGTCAATAAAGAGATATAGGCTGCATTCCGATATTCACTGTCAGTATTGCAAATCTATATTTTACGTCACGTATACTATAGATTTTCAGTACTGAAAGTTGCTGACAGTGAATATCGGAATGCAGTCATAGATGCAAATTGAATCATATATATTTAATTGCCTGCTCATTATAACATAAAGCCAGATATATATAAAAATGTATAATATATAAGACGATATAACTGTGTGATATCTATATAGAAAATAAATATAAAGTGCAAACACATAGAAATTGTATATTTTTCTATACTTAAATGCAATAGGAAAAAATAATTAAACAAGTATCCTTGCATAGGAATATTATGCATAATTTTTACAAAACATATTTGAGATTCGCGCAATTGAGATATATAATAAAATTAATAACGATTCTATAAATCTTAGGTATATGTTAATACGACATGATCTTTTTAATCATGAAACTTACAAACTAACGGAAAAAGATTCGTATCCTAAATGCCAATAATTTTTCTAATGTAACAACAATACTGAAAATATATGGATAGAAATATATATAATAAATAATAACATAATATACAAGAGCTTTTGTCGCGCATATCGATTTTCAATAATAGATATTATAACAAATACGTTTTACGTTTATTCGAAAACAAATATAATTCTACATGAAAGTAATTAAATTTGATTTAATTGTGGAAAATGGAATTAATGTGTCAATATCTCGAACGATGGAAGGGCAGTGTATAAAAAATTACATCACGATAATTACATCTATCGTCATTTGCATATAGCAAATTTTACAAGTCATACGATTCGTATCATAATTTGGTGTACACGATTAAGTACGATCTTTCGCGTAAGCGGTGTACTAAATACATATAAATATTTAAATAGTGTTCCGACATATTTATATATATATATATATATATATATATATATATATCCAACATGAATTATACATACATATACATATAATATTCTTTATAGTCTGATATTTTAAATAGTAACAATCATGTACATCCATGTGATAAGCGTATGGCATGAGTGAGAGCTTACAGATACAGGAATGTATATCGTATGAGAAATGTGAAGACGATTATTGTTCTGTGACAGTCTGTTTCGCGATGTGTCGTAAACTTTTCACGGTATACTTTCGAGACAACCTTTGATGTGCTGCCAAGCTTGGAGACCCTGTAACAACGAAGAATAATGTTATCGTCAAGAAGCATCGCGAAACACGAATACCGTAGAATATGAAATTTAATATATCGACCTTCCTAGCTAATTTAAATTGCAGAATGCAATAAGCTGCCAAAGTTTCTTTCAGATCAACGACTTTTTGATGCTGGAACCTCTCAATGTCCATCATGGCTTTAATGGAGAACGACCTATACGGTGATTTATTAAAATTATTAAAGTTATCATTGGATATCGATTAAGATGATGTCTAGAAACGTGGTTTTACTTCAAATCTTCATCCACTTGCTTCACAGTTTCGTCGTGGTGCGCAATTCGCTGCTCCAGCTGAAGGATTTTCAATTCGCGAACCTCCTCAGTGTCCACAGAGCCAAATAAACGCGACATCAGACCAGCCTTACCTTGAAAACAAAGTTTTGCATTCCCGAGAGTATATGTAACCAAACCAAATTCAAACGTTATATTTCGGGCACAGTTATTCTAATGCGTATAGCAAAGTCCAAAAGTTTCTGGCCCAAGGATAAATGAAAGATGATAAAATATATAAAACAATTTTCATTTTTTAATATAATTACTTTATTTCAATACATTTTTTTAGAACGATAAATTAATTTTTCTATACCATTAAAAAAAGATATTCTAAATTTTTGTCGTTAAAATAGTTTAACTTAAACGGAAAGATCATTTCTTCATCACCGATAATATTTTTTCCAGAAAAATCAGACTTCAATTTTGAAAAAATAAAGAATAATCTATTGTACAACTAGTGGAAAAAGTGGTCGATTCTGAATGAGTGTGAAGTTGGTCGGTGAACTCGCTTCGCTCGTGCGACCATCACACTCATTTGGGCTCGACCGCTCTTCCCACGAGTTGTTCATACTATTTTTCCTAACAAGAGCGTGAAACAGGCCGCTTTTCGCGCTTGTTTTATAATATTTCATTTCTCCATTAGTTGAGAAATGGCTCCATGTTTCAACGCTTAAAAGCGGCCCATTTCACGCTCACGTTAGGAAAAATTAATTTCGTATTAAAACAAAGAATAATTGTATTAAAAAATAAAAATGGTTATTTTATTGTATAATATCATCTTTTTTACACCTTTTTTATATCCTTAGACTAGAAACTTTTGGATCTTACTACGTACCTTGCATGACTTTGTCTTTCTGTTCAAACGCGGCAGTCAAGGCATCGTGCGCTTCGTCCTTAGCCAATTGCAGAGCTTCTCTGCGTCTAACCACAGCCTGCAACGCTGACGCACCGAACAGCCATTCCTTCAGCTGATCAGCTATGAGCTCTTCCTCCTCGAGCGTGGTATCTATCGTCGCCGCTAACGAGTCCAAGTAGTGTCCCGATTTCTAAGAAAACAAGCTGTAATATGGTGTTTTGCAAACTTAAACTGCATTTCTTTTTTTCTTTTTATTTTATCAAATCGCGTTGCTCTTTCTATTTTTCGACGTTAGCAAATAAAATCGATGTTTCTCGCTTTATCGGCACGATTACAGTGTTACTTTTTATAATAAGAAATACCTGCAGTTCGTCGCCCATTCCTTTCTCTATGGCACTCCATTCGCTGAAGACACGCCCATAATTTGCGTGCAACTTGTACAGACTGTGCTGCTTTTCAACGAGCCGTGCGCGCACTCGCAGGAGATTGCACAAGTTATTCTGCAAAAATAATTATTTGAAGGCACACCGACAACACTTGCATCATAATTAAAATATTATTATTATGGGCGAATAAATTCTCAAAGATCGCTGGTCATTAAAAAATTTATTTTGTTAAAATAAAACATATAATATTACGAAGATAACATTTTAATTCGTTAAGTAAAAAGGAGGCAATAAAAGAGCCAAGCGCAGTAATTCTTGCGCAATATTATATATTCTTAGTCATTACATCATAAGATTAGCGGACGTTTCGACTTTTTTTGGTCATCTTCAGCGCAATTCGTTTATATTTTATCTAATTTGACTGCGTTAAACATCGACACTCTAACGTTTATATTGCACATTAATTACTGCGCTTGGCTCTTATTGCGCCTCCTTTTTACTTATTGATTTATTCAAGCAAGTCTTTATGTACTTTTTAATTTTAATTCGTAGCATACCTGCAGCTCAATTCCATAATTTTTTATAGTTTCGAACCGTTTGTCCGGCTTTCTTAGTCGTACCGCTACGCTAAGTGCTTTTAGTTTCGATTCCGCGATCTGCAAATACCCTATGCAAAAAATAATAAATATGATTATCTAAGATATTTCTTTATCTTTAACTTAATGTTTCTATCATGCGTAAAAAATAAAAATTACCTGTTTCTTTAACACTTTCTCTCCAACCGTCCTTCTGCTGAAGAAATCCCATGAAATGTTCGTCGCGCGAAAGTATAGGATGCGATGCAACTCTTATAAGGAAATTCTGTGCACAGAAATATTTTCTATGACTTTCCTAGTATACAACATTCATCGCACGATACTGCTATAATTGCAAATCGGAAACGTACCTCGAGTCCAGCTCTTCTGCGATCAACGAAGTCGGGATCGAACGTGTCAGTCGTCACTTTCTGCCAAGCGTAGAGAACCTTCTTTTCCGGCAGCGGTGGTAACACGATGTAGGGATACGAAATCTCCAGATAAGCACGAAGCAATTCAAATTCAGTATATCGCCGCCATAACGAGCTTATCCTAGTTAGCGCGTTTTTGAAATCTGGGTCAGTGACTCTGTAAAAGAAAGGAGAAAGAAATCACACATAATAAATAACCGCATGCAATAGTATTTCCTAAATAAAACTCATATCAGTTCGCAATAAACTCTGTTACACGATTCGTATTTTTGATTTTTTACTCACTTAGTTTCAATGAGGTATACCGTGTAGAATTCTCTTAAATTAAGTGCTCTATTCGCTCTCTTCTCAGCCTCCACTATTGAGATCTCCATGTGATCGAGCAGGCAGTCCTGAAATATTTTGACGCTGCATAACAGTCCATCTCGAAACGTTCGCGAGAGTTTGAGAGACACTGCCTTCGTTCTCCATCTGTTTTTCTTATCGTTCGTGCGGAATGTCGCGGTTTTGGTGAAGTACACATTAGTACGCAACAGCTGTGCTCACACAATATACGAGGGTATACGAGGGTATACGAGGGGATCGAGGGGAGAATAGAATACGAGTCACTGACACCAATTGAGAAACGCTGCGCGGTGCTCCGATGATCACTGCGCGACACATATTCGCGAGTTAATTAAAATTAAATCAATTAATCGACGTCTCTAAATTTGTTCAATCCATCGAACGCTCGGCCGGGAGGTGGTCTTTCCGAAATTCCGGAGTCGCGCAACTCGCCGCGGGCGACGAGCGAGGCAGCGCGACTCCGAAAAAGGCGGACTGCGATTGACTGTGACGAGAGAGAGAGAGAGAGAGAGAGAGAGAGAGAGAGAGAGAGAAAGAGAGAGCACGACTTATCGATTTGCCACAGACGAATGCATGTGAAAAAGCGAGCCAAAGCCCTTTACCTCTTTCCGCGTCTCCATAGCGGTCATGTTGGCGTTAGCCTCTCTCTGATAGTTGCCGTTCTGAAAGACCTCTTCCATGGTTTCACGTCGCCGTTTTGCCTGCAACTACCTACGGGCCCAGCCAGCGGTACTCCAATTTAGTCTTTCGCATCACGTCGGGTCGCCCGATGCTTCCGACCTGCTACCACCACTGGTCGTATCGATACTGCTGGATACTGCCGAGTGCCGCGTCGCAGGTCGCAAGGCTGTAAGGCAAGCTGTAACATGCTGCGCACAATCGCGGCAGTCCAACCGAGAACCGGTCTCAGCTACTAATACTGTAATACAGTCACTGTATTACCGTGAGAATACGGTCAAACTTAAAATACATCGAATTGCGAGGAAGGGGTATAGAAATTATGAGCACCGAAAGGCGCCCAACTGACGATTTTGTGATTCATTTACACGGGCGTTTTTCTCAACGATGATTTTACGTGTTAACGTAGTCGAATGAAGTGAAAAAGATCCTACGAAAAAGATACGTTGGCTACGCTGACGCTGACGTTTTTCTCTAGAGACGTCTCCACGTACTCCAAAGAACAGCCAGCGGTTTCTTGTTGCGTTCTTTTGCGTCGCACGCGTTGCATATAGAAGGGGTGAAGAATTAGACGTTATAGTAATAAAATTATTTTTTTATTACATTTTCTGCGTTGCATCATAATTATATTTTCCTTGTTGTTATGCTTATAACAATAGATTGTGATAAATAAGATTAGAACAATCGATGACAGATATTTTTTTACGACTTTAAACATCGCAGTTGCGGGACGTATTTAAAATACATTTCCCTCATACGCATGTCGAACGAAGTGTCGAACACACACACACACATTGCGCGACCGTACAATTCATTTATTCTATATACATGTATATAGAATATAGTAGGTGGGAACGAGAATACACAGCCTTATTTACTAGATGAGCGTGCGTATTTACATAATGAAAGATATTGCGCGGATATAAAACGGCGACGGCGATTATTAAAGTGCATATAATATAGATGGAAAGCTATTTACATGTCGATTTTTCGACAAATAATAAAACAAATTACAAAATCATCGTGGAACATATCTGCAGAAAGGTCAAACAATATCCTTCGGTTTGTCACCTTGCGTCGGTTTTCGGGGGAGAATAACAACCAGAAGTGCAGACACTGTAAAATAAGCAGAAATGTTTAAGAAACATTTTTATACATACGTAAAAAGTTATATTCAATGTAGAGATAAAGATGTAATTTAATATGCATTTAATATATACAATTAATGTTGTTTTTACCTAAAGAGGCTGAGCCGATCATAACGAATGGTCCTAAACACGATAGATTAAATAAAACGGGAAATAGTAAATTGCCGATTACTGCGCCAATTCTTCCCATCATCATAGTTGTGCTAACCGCCATAGTTCTAGAATAAGAAAACATATTGATATTAGATAGATCGATAATAGGGTAAACAATAAAATATAATGTAATATCCCAGACAGAAATGATTGGTCGAATCGACGTTTGTTTTTATATAATGTTATGTTAATCGGAGCAATATTGCAAATATTTTTGCGAGATTTCTCTTGTCTTTTGGCTAATTCTATATCAAATCAGTACAAAATCGGGAAGTACACAATACATTTATGTATTTGATGCCGAATTTGTCGAAAAATAGAAATCTTATAGAAATATTCGTAATTACTCAATTAACATATATCATGATGAGGTCAAAGATGACCAAAATATCAATCAATATTCGATATCGACCATTCATCGACACATCGACGTCAAGTTGATGTCGATTCGACTAATCATTTCTACCTGAAACAATGATATGTAATTAAGAATAAATTTCCGTACCTTAGATATGTAGGAAAATTATCAACAATAACATTGATGACAGTCGCACCGCCTATACTCGTCATAGCGACAAACACCGAGGACAATCCGAGGATACCGTTAGTATCTTCAGCCCAATACAGTGAAGCGCAACAAGCAGCAGCGACGACGAAACAAATCGCTGCACAGAAATCAAATAATTATAACAATTACAGATAATAGTGTATAAATAATTATAATAAAATTAATAATGAAATTATATAATAAAATATAGGATAATTATAATAAAATTATAGTATTGTGTAATATTGTTCAATATTATTATTCGCAATGTATTTTATAAATAAAGTCGATATTTCTTCACTCTACCAAATTACTTCATCGTCTTACCCATTAGCTTCCTTTTTCCTACAACAGTAATCAAAGAACCAGCTATAGTATAACCGATAACGCTCGTCACAGCAATGACGATCGAATTGATGAAGACTCTAGAATTCAGCTCCGCCTAAAATTGACGTGCATGTCACTTCCAGGATTTATATTTTGTTTCCTGCGTTGCGATCAAAATTTACGAATTAGCTGACTTACCGGAACGCATATCGTTGTAGAGTTATGCATCATCTCGTTGATATACTGCGTAGAATTATAATGTGACTTTTCCTGGCCTAGCATGTAACAGAATGTAGGCTGCAAACCCGACACCTGACTGTCGTCCTTCATGAGAGTACTTTTGTAACTCTCGATCATCGCGAACAGCTGCGGCAGCCAAAGCCGGAGTGAGTTTGACCTGCAATCGACATTAATTGAACTCTCGAAGCTTCATTTATTTTGGTGACTCCATTTTTTTTAAATTAAAATTGAAGACAGAAAAGGGAAAAGAAAGGTTGGTTAAACTGACCCTATCGTTGCTCCAAGTTGTACCATCGATATAAGTATCAATCTGAAGATATTGGATCGCAAAAAAAGTGGCTTTATTCTCTTCCAACAGTTTTTCAGCTTGTCCTGTATACGTTCCCCGCATGATTCAACTGAATATTCATTTTCCAGACTCTTTATCTATCAATTAATAATAAAACAACCGTATTATTATTATTACCACATTAACTGTTCCTTCCGTTCTACAGCCGCTCGATTTATCAAATTCTCATTTCTTACAATTTTATTACGCGTTCTTTTACATATATATGTTTTAGTTTAGGTTTCGTTTATGCCTTACTTGTTTTATGCTTTGTTCTACACTTTTATCTTTGCGTTCTGTTTACCGTGTCCAACTTTTTATTCTGTTTATTTTATGTTCCGAATAACATATCTTTTTTTATATAAATAGGCATTAGCCTTATCTTTTATATGTACACCTTTCATACTTATTGTATTGATTTATCTTGTTACTAATCAATTTTGTATATATATATAAAGTTATTAAAATTATTAAAGTTAATGCAATAAAACAAATAATGTATTTAAATAAATATAATAATTTTGTAATCACGCTGTACGCAGCTATCGTGCGTATTTTAAAACATTGTCGAAATGACTCGATAAGGCATCATGTTTTTACAATTGAATTTTATTTGCGCGACTTAATTGAAAGTTATTTGTGTTAACAGATCAAGCAATTTAATCTACAACAGTTGTAGATTAAAATCTTAATTATTTCAAATAAATATATTGCTTATTATCTTTGAATATAATATCGTCATTTATACACATATTACCGGGTACGTGTCAGGATCCTTTCCAGTGTTGAGCGAGTAGATTTTCTTGAAGACACTCAATGCCTCGTCGTGCCGACCCTTCAGAATAAGGAAACGCGGACTCTCTGGGAAAGCGAAAAGAGCGATGCACGCTAGGAACTCGGGTAGTGAACAAATGGCTAAGAACACTCTCCAGGAATTTATCTCGATCTTTGTTTCGCTTAAAAATGTGATGTACCACTTTTGAGGTATTATAAGCCATGCTATACCTGCAAGTTAAAAAGTAAAAATCAAATTTAACTGTATTCAAGTTTATTTGCCATAAAATGTGTATGTAATGTATGTATCTGAATAAAATAAAATATTGCGCGCTCTCTTTTCCACGCTTTTATTTTAAATCTCTAAATCAACTTTAACTCTTCTTGTTCCCAGCGAGTTTCACACAATGCAGCAATATGTATATTGCACAATTGCATTGCACGCATTACCGGCTTAAAAATCGGCGCTTTATAATTTAACCCCCCGTCGATCTGTAGATAAGATTGTGTCAAGGCTGCACTTACATGGCAGGGAAATGTTTCCGAGTGAGAAGAACACGCCAAGCCACATGTACGACCTCGATCGATGTGCCTCATTGTGTATTTCCGCCAAGTACGACATAAGCGCTGCGTACGGGCCAGATATGCTGCAATTTGTCGATCGCGATGTCAACTCTTATATACGTAATATTTATATATAATAAAATATTCAAAAAAATATTCAGTGATGTCATACCGCACCGACTGGCAATTCTCACTTACATCATGCCGTCAAAAAATTTGAACGTTATTAAAAGCCAAGATCTGTGCGAGAAACACGTTGCCACGCTTAGTAGACCGGTAAGCAGGTAACCGTAGAACATTATTTTCTTACGGCCGAACATGTCGGTCACGTAACCCCAGAAAAACACCGTACAGATCATTCCTGAAAACAAACCAACCGGTCAGCCGATTCTACCTTCATACCTGGATTTTCCCACCAGGACTTGCGATATTAAAATAAAAAAGGATGAGAAACAGTATGCTGCCAAAATAAATCGTTTGCGTTCTGAATTAATTTTGTTCCTGCATTTGCGATATGTCATGAATTTACGATAAGATCAATGCTGCATTATTCGACAGATACGCGCCTAGGGGCCTCCTAGCTAGATTGTGAAAATTAAAGGATTTTAGCCGAAATTATCAAAGATAAGAACGCCTACTTTCTGTGTCGCGAGAAATCAACTCTAGTCAGAATCGAGGGACAAAATGAAAATTTACATAATGCAAATGTAACTGTTCTTTCCTTGTTGGTTTTTTATCCAACCTTTACCTTTAAGCGTGATACTAAATTAATATTTAAACTGTTTTCTATATTTTTTGGTTTCTTGAAAATCCAAACTAAATATTTGAATATCCTGTTTTTTTTTCTTTAGTGACTATAGTCGTGCAAATAAGAACCTGTACAATTTTTTGATAAAATATAAAAATATAGTTATGTTTACTTTATTAAAAATAATTCATAAACTTTATTGCGTGTTTAATAAACTTATCGTAATGAAAAGTAACGTTATCTTACTATTAGTTTTAAATTAACAAGACACATAATGATGGAAAATTGCAAATGTCTATAATTGATTCAAAGTTATTTCAATGCCATTGCGAGGAGAGCCCCGTGATGGCTGTACCTTATAATGGGTCTCTATATAGAGACTATAGATTAATCTGCCACTAGTTGCTCGCGGAGACCGAAAGCGATCGTTGAAAACGGCCGGCCGAAATATAATCGGTCGGTCGGAATTCGCATGCGACAAAAAATAAAATGATACGGTATTTACCGTGAGTTCGCGTTTGCTCTCACTATTGCCTACAACGAACCGGTAGTGTACACCGCACGATAATCATAGAGACTCTAAGTGTGCCAAGCTCTAGGCGCTCCAGGGCTCTCATTGAGCTCTCTGGCACCTGTAATAAAGCGTTGTTATGCAATTGTTAGACAGATCGAGATACTACCTACGAACGCCATCGAATTCAGCAGCCCCTTGTCGAACATCGTCAGCTGGAGATCACATTCGGCGGATGGTAGCACGTAGGACATCGCCGACGACGAGAAGATACTGGAGAAACTGGCCGGCAGTACCGCCAGCAGTAGCAAATAATTAAATTTTCCATATCCTGGTACGCAGATAAAAATATTTTAATGTGTGTATTAAATCAGTTCTGTTTTCAATGTATCACATTCTCTATTAACATGTTCAACGTCGTGAGGGCCATCACCGTGGATATATTGATATGTCGCACTGTCATGGAACGAATAATATTTAGACAGTCACGTGCACATGTAGTGTGTCAGCAGAAATTCAATCAGACTTTTGTTTTTATTTATTATAAATATTTGTTAAAAAGTTAGTTAAGCATACATCACTACTGTTCTTCTTGAAGACAAAATAGAATGACAATATTAAACAAATTATTCCATGTGGCGATAAACGTGTGTTAAATAAGTAATACGAGACTTATAAACATAACACAATAATAATTTGTATATATTATTTATTTTTATTTACCTGCTGATACAATTGCCCGTTCAAAGTCTGCGGGACCTGAATCCTCAGACCTTACTTCCTCACCTAGAAGCGAAAACAGCGATTAGTTATAAATCCCGATAACATAGTTGCTTTAGAGTTACATAATTAAAACTGAATTAATACCTGATATACAACGCATACGTCTGTATCTATACGATCTATACGTCGTAAGTAAATCAAGAAAGCGTCTAAAAACCATTTCTCTGACCTATCGTCAAACACGGCTACATTTGCACTAACTACGCACGTATAATCGATGTTCGTTGTACGAACTTATTGCGAGAAACAGTCAATATTGCCACGACGCTTGAGAAATGCCGTTAATGTTACCAAAACAGAATATATATACTATCTTCGCAGATGTGTCAGTTTTATTCAGCACTATATACAACGATAATATCACTATACAACTTATTTTTATTTACAAATGCGTTGTCACTATAATTTATAAATACGTAATTAACTGTAATTAACTGTAAAAGATAGATATCTCATAGAACACGTCAAGTAATTGTATTTTCTATACTTTACACCGTAACTGCGCGAAATACTTGATATAATTAAATTTGTATTTTTTAAAGTCGTTATGCAACTGCAAGTTGCACAGATAATGTAAACACAGATCTTCTTCAGCAACACGCGAAAAGATACGATGCGAGAGATAATTATGATAATCGTTTCGCGTGAGACTACACTAATTTCATAAAACTTGCTTTGCAGGAAACGTCACAAGTTTAGTATAAAATGCTAATGCAATTTGTTAGACACACTTTAAATTTGCATGATAATTCGTATAATTGCGATGCCATTATTTTGAAGTTGAGAATTATGCACGGATCGGAAAGACCGAAAGATAACGTCAAGCAACGAATACGGATCGTACCCGACTAACGATTTATTGACAATGTTCGTTCTAATATGCTGTCCAAAATATTCACACAAGAATTATCTGAAGTGTATGTTTACAAGCGTTCTCAAACTCAGCGAATTTTTCGATACCTTATTGGTGAAATTAATTGAAGACTGCAGATTCCCTTTGAGTTTACTTAATTGCATAAAAAAATGCTTTCTCAAAAAATATGATAAAATAAAATTTTAAGTTTTTTGAGATATTTATTTGTGTAATTAATAATAAATTGCGAGTTATAGAGCTATAATGTTTTAATCAATAATATAATTTAACAAGCTCGTTAAAGCACCTTTCTGTAGTATCCAAATAATGATGAAACAATGCACTTGCATTTGAGATAATCTAACGCGGTGATGCAACATACACATTCCTTTATTATCATTTAGGTATTGCTTAAACGCATGACGGTATGTTAAACACGCGACAAATCAACGCTAAGTTTATGTTTTTTTTTTATCACTTGGATTTGTTTAAGCTAAACATTTTCATCTGTCTCGCGCCAAGACACATGAAATATACGTGTATTTAACTGTACTAAAATTTCGCGAATATTTTTAAATATTTATGTGTGTGATTTGACATTTTGACATTTTGACATTTTTGACATTTTCAATGATGCAAATGTTAATGCGTGTGAAATACCTTCATATTGTGCTGAAATATAGAATAAAAGAGAAGCAAAATTGAAGTAGAAAGAGATTTAAAAAATAGAAAATGAAAAAATGGAAAGAGAAACCGTTAATCATACCAGGCATATTAGATTCATTTTACGTAGCAATTCTATTTCTCTCGACCTGTTCTTTATAAATGCTAATTTCTTAGAAGATAAAAAAGTGGAACATTTGTAAACCACGCCTATAACGCTAAACATTACAATCAATTACAGCCAGCAAGCCTACTTTAATAATTTTTAATGTGTGCATTATACAATTCCTAATGTTTTATTTTTTTGTATTCTATACATACATATGAAAGAGAAAGAGAGACAAAGGCTTACAGAAGTTAAGCTTACATTGCGCTGTTTGCAACTAGAAATTTGCATTCTGTAAAGTATTATAATTAAATTCTAAACGCGTTTGCTTACATAACGTAAAACAGACATTAACGATAATGAACAGCGTTCAAAACTGTAAGGCAATTGTATGTATGATTTTTGATCATATATGTATTGTATGTAATTTAGTATATAATTAAATAATTATTTAAAATAATTTTGTAATTTTATGATAATTTAGTAACAACTTTTAATAATTTGTAATATTTTTATTTATTTTATTTATTCTGCTAATATTTCTTGTTTTCTTCTGTTCAAAATAATTAAAATATTTGTAAATTTTGAAAAAGTGAAAATCAAACGGCCATTTTTCCAATAAAACAAAGAATGTTGGTTTAAACAAAGAAAAATTGATTTGTTATAATAATATAAATACTTGTATTTGTTATAATATCTCTAATTCAATTATTTTAAAAATTATCGTTAGTTATAATGATAATATTGTAGAAGTTGCAAAAAAAGACATGGGATGACATTTTGATTTTGCTTTGATAAAAACATTATAATATATTAATCCTTTTAATAAAACAACTCAATAGTAAAAATGTCTTATTTAAAAAAAATGCAATGCACTTTTGTGTAATTAATCTTCTCTGCAGTTTAAATTACTGAATAAACAAAGATTGAGTAATTTGTTTGTAAATATTTGACATATCATTCATCACGGCACTGCAGCCAATACATAATTTGATTCTAATTTAATTTAATTGATTATAATTTTGATTATTTATCTTAATTTTCTCATATATGTATATGATAATACGTACGATATAATGACATATGTAGCTTTTATATATGTATATTGTATATATTTATATATACTGCAAAAATTTTCAAAATTTATTTAAAGATAAAAGCTCAATTTTTTGTAAAAACTATACTAAACATAATTTTACGTAAATATGGAAATAAATATTAATACAAGCATGTAATTCTTACTTCGACATTATGCATATTATCGTATATTAAGCGATCGTGATTAATGGATTACATTTGATCGATTTCCGATCAACTGTTCCACATTTACACACAGTTGAAGAAATATTGTGAGATATTGACGCAGAAGGTCATTACGTATTACATATACTTGTATTTATGATTCGCTAACTTGCATTCGCAAATTTTTTTTCAAACAACAGACAGTTAAGCGATATAATTATATACGCAGTTAAAGAAATCGAGAAACTTTTGTAATAAAATAGATATCCAAACAAGAAAATGGTACAAAATGCAGAGAAATATGTTTGTAAGTGGTTCACTTACAAACTACAAAATTATTAATATAATAAGTAGAATAATTAAATTTTATAAAAATCAATCTTTGTTCTCTCCACAAATTGTGAATTCAATTAATTTATAATTTATAAGAGAATTAGGTACAACTGTGAATTCCGTAAAAGAAAAATTGTTTTAAAACCATACATGCAAATGTTTTTAAATTTAATATACGATACTCTGATATCTTGTCAAACAATATTTATCGAGTGACTCATTTAGGCATTATTTAATAACAATAAATAATATTAATGAAAAGAGAAACTTACCGTCCGCCACGTCACGTCAATAAATATACGCGCGATGAATTTAATATAAAAATAAAAATATTTTACTATTAAATGTATGATGTATTTAATATTAAATGAAAGATAATGTTAGACATAGGTAGTAATAAATAAAGATATGCTAAATTAAAGACACCATTTTTTGGCACCTTGCTAAAAGTTTGAATATGCTGTGTAATAAATACAAATATATTTATATACACTCATTAGAAAAATTGAGAGTCGCTTCCATTCTCAGTATGCCATCACATGTGCGCGCATTTTCAATGGTATCTTCCGTAATTAAAGTACATATATAGACAGATTTCTCTGCAATTGTCGTATCATCGTGTTGTCGTGTTGCTGCGGTAATCTGATCAAAAGAAGGGCCTACGTATATTACTAGACAAAAATATCTCAGTTTTTCTGGCATTTGAGTGTACGTATATATGTGTACATTTTTTATACAGTGTATTCAAACTTATACATATTTTTTTCTTATAATATTATATATTTCTTATAATCTACAGATATTTGATAATAATATCACACAAAAACATTTCTAGAAGATTATCTAAGAGTTCAAAAATACAAAAATAAATAATGAAACTTGCAAAAATCTCATGATGGAGAGTTGGCGGTAACTTGCCTTTAGGTTTCATTAAAGATATCTTTTTCTATCGTCGTCGAAGGATTTCGAGAGTGAGATACGCAGGGATCGGGAACGCAGTAAAATAAATTCGCGATGCACCAGCAGCAACTCTTAATCGGCGATCCTAGCGTCGTCGTCGCGCGTGCACCACCCTAAAGAGGGATGTTTCTTCAGTTGCACATGCACAGTGGTGAGCGACAATTGTTAAACTGATTTCGCTCGTTGGATTCGCTACAAAAGTATCGTCGAGACGAAAGAAGTGCGAAGAAGACGGTGACGATGCCGACGACGACAGGCGTCCATCGCGTTACGCGGTGGGGCGAAACAGGTTCCTAAACGAACCTATATAATTTTCTCGCGTATCAACGAGAAAAAGCCATCTCCCACATCCACACCCACGCGAGAACACGTGAATATATATATATCATTCCGCGCTCATTAGATATATAAGAAAAACTCTACGGTGTTTCTTTTCAAACGCTCGCAAGTGGTCTGCCAGATAGCGCGGCGGCACATTTGTTTGGTCCGCAAAATTTGCACGGACTGCATTCCACGGACTTGCACATTTATAATAGCCTCATTTTTGCGCAAAGGTCCTGCACGATATAAAAAAGATAGTTGAGAAATTCGAATGTCGTCGAGGCATGTTGTTTGTCTCTTTCTGACGCAGGTAGAACGCACACTCGCGTGTCGCATGGAATTTTTGCATTAACCGAATCGAGATTAAAATCAGGATTCTACTCAAAAATTAATGCCTAATGCATACTGATTTGACCGCCGCGCATAGTTTACCAGTTCGGATCATATGCTATACTCGGTCTAGAACCGCGAGATTTTTTGGACAGAATGACATTTTGATGGAATGCAATCGCCGATCAAAAAAGATCAATGTATATCGAAATTCAGAACCCTTTTTAGACGATGATTATAATGACATACATATGGGGGAAAAATAACAAATAGTATAATAAGATGTCAGATCTCATCCTATAATACGTACGTTCCATTTTCGTCGGTATCTTTCCGCTCGGAATTGTTCCATTATCGGATCTCTTCGCAAATTCACCTTTCCCGAGCGCCATCGTAGGAACAATGCCAAAATCGGTATCGGGCCTTATGTTTTGTACATCGCAGGTGTCCTGTATTATCACGATTCAGTAAACAAAAGCGATGATAACGAGACTGTATATATTTTTACGAGCTCATCCGCGATTTTCAATCGCAAATATCGACAACAAAAATGCATGGATTATTGCAGCTTCTGCCCAACTTCCGTAAAAGCCACAAAGTGACCATGCATTATCACGTAAACCGGCCCGTCAGGCGAACGAATTGCATATTGCTGATCGAATGTAGCAGACAATCTGTTTAGTATGTAAATTATTCCAGTGTACGATGCGAAGTGAAATTCCAAATTCCTTAGCACATAAAGTCGTTACTCACTGTTTGTCTTATGGTGCTTCGGGGGTCGCAAATTACGATCTATCTTATCTTTATGTGCGGGCGCGTGATAACTTCTCAATCTTAATTGACGACACGCGGCTTTCGGAAGACTACCGTGAGTCAAGACATGACGAATCTGTAAATTCGTCGATGTCAAAGAATTTACGTTTACCTGGAAGTAGGCTTTGTGAGAAAGATAATAATGCATTGCATTATTAATTATTCTGCAAATAAATGCTACAGGCGCCTATACTATACTTATCGCGGACACGTAAATGTAAATAAGTAATTATATAATGTATTTAGTCGTTGCGTATGTTAGGTGTTTCGTATATCAAAAGTTTGAGTTTTGTTTTAAATCTCTTTTGATAAGATTATAAAATTATATTCTTCTACAAAGACACATTTCAGTTTCTACAACATGTATGATTTCTTTTTAAGTTACG